GAATACCGGGAATGTGCCCTGGATATGGGAACAGTGGGGAAAAGGAGGTGCTCTCACTCTTTGTAATTCCAACTGTGTTGCTTTAAAAAAAAAAAAAAAGGAAAAGAAAAACCCTGAAATGTAAAATCAGAAGCTAAGAAAACTTACTACCACACCAGAGTGAAAATGTAGTTTTCTTATGCATCCAAACTAATTTTATTTTACTTTGGTCTAAAAAGAGCCATTTTTCCCTTTTCCAGAGCCAAATACACTTGTCATGGCAACCATATATCTGCAAACTTTTCCACATTTTTTCACCATTTGAATTACTTTTTGCTTAAACAAACTGCCTCAGAATAGCCCTCCCCCAGAGATAACTACATCAGCATAACAGATAATTGTACACTGGAGAATTCAGTTCTGTTTTATCTACCAGTGTCTCATAGCTAGAGATTCATTGGCAGCTGTAATATGTTGTTATCTGTGCCAAGAAAAGGATTTCAAAGGATGTTTTAGTGTTTTTAGTGTCATTTGACTAACACAAACTTTTATTCCTGGAAGTGATTTGACAGATTACCAGTAATAATGTACAGTCTTGCACTTTTGTGCATCTAACTCTTTCATGACTGGCCTGATTCTCCTCTCTGATATGAGTATAAAAGTCTGGCATAGATTCTCATAAACAATGAGCCTGCATCAGTCTAAAGCTGGTGCAGCTTCAGGAATCTCGTGTCCTTTAAATTGAAGCAGACAAATTGATTACTCATGATGCAGAATGCTGCCAGTTAGGTTAATCTAATTGGATTCTAGTCATGACGTAAATCAGAGAGGAGCGATAAATGATCAGTGACCACGTTGTAATTTGAGGATCAGAATGAGTACAATGACTTGATTATTTTCTCTTTCAAGAAGTAACGCTTATGATAGCCCAGAAATAGTTCCGTCATGTGCAATGTGCATTATCTTCATCTCTATGGGACGGGAAGAGATCCAGCCTTAAGGTCTAGATTGTTACAAACCCATAACGGACACCTCTCAGACACTGAAGACAAGGTTTTTTATTCAGGTAAATCAGCCCAGAGTTTTTTAAACTCTGTAGGAAAAAAAAAAAACAAACAGGAAGAACTTTGGCTCCAAAGAAACAAATTGCAAAGTAAGAACACTAGAATTTCTTATTGTCCCACAAATCAGGGAAATGAATGACTTTCATCCATCTGGGAGAGGTCATAATGTAACTCCTTTCCGCTCTGAGTTTAGCCAAATAAACCCTTGCATCTATCAGCAAGAATATTTTATTAGATTTAAGCCAAAGTCTCCCTTTATATATTTCTAAATATTTGCTGTGAAGATACAGACACAGAGATTAGATTTCTGACACAGTCTGAGTCAGTGGCAACCAAAGAAGACCACAGGACTTGATGTTTCACAGAATCACAGAATCACAGAATGTCAGGGGTTGGAAGGGACCTCTGAAGATCATCTAGTCCAACCTTCATCCCAGCATACCTAACCACTACACCATAGCCTCAAGTGCTAGATCTACTTTTTTTTTAAACACCTCCAGGGTTGGTGACTCCACCACCTCCCTGGGCAGCCTGTTCCAGTGCCTCACCACTCGTTCAGTAAAGAACATCCTCCGAATATCCAATCTAAACTTACCTTGACGCAACTTGAGGCCAAAGTTTCAAAGCGCAGGATGCTAAAACTGCTGATAAAACATACATGTATCTTATGGGCAGATGCGAAACAGGTGGCTGCAAGTGTGGAAAACAGTCAAGCCAATTGGTTATCTGTTCTCTGAAGGACGAAAACTGTAGATGAACTGACCATTGCTGGAAGGAACATGAAAAATGGTTTAAGTACATCAGGAATGCTCATTTTTATCAAGCAATTGCTAGTCTGTAGCTAGAGAACAAATTAGACTTGCCAGTAAGTATAATCTTTCATAATGAAATTTGTTCTTCCTATCCATCCGTATCCTCCAAGAGTACTGTGATAACACATCTGGCTGTAGGTATAGGCTTAGATTTCACAAAGTAGTGGAAAAGAAGTAGGACTTTTGGTATATGGAGTATCAATGCCGTAACAAAGTTAAATACCTCAGATCCTCCTCCACACTAAAGAAGGAAAAATAAATGTGAATGTGAGATAAAAATTAGGCATGCAGAAAACTGATGTTACATATTCAGTGGGATCTCGAATACCAGGGAAATGTAAAGAAACAAAATTTACCCTTTACTAAGTAATACTTCTCTGACTACTGATGTAGTAATATTCTGAAGGCTTTCATCATAGGTAGACTTGAAGTGAAATACATAGTGTAAATATTTTACAGCTAGACTTGAACAAGTGACCTATATAACGTAAATGTTTTTCATTGATTTGTATTGTTATAAACGAGAGTTACACCTTCTATATTGTTTTTGTAAATGTTACATGAAAAAATTAAAAAAAAAAAAAGAAACCAGAACAAAGTGATGGCATGTGACTTGGGTGGGAAAGAAGACCTGAGGTGGCTCTTTGGAGGTGGCAGCTCTTTCCCAGAGAGATGTGATTTTTCCAGAGCTCTGCAGCAAAGGTGCTTGCTCCCTGGGGGTGCAGTGACTCTGGGGGTGCTGAATGAGCTCCTGAATCTCAAGGCAAATCGAGACTGAGGACTTACTTGTACTGGTTTATAATTGGATCTGAGAATATAATGTTAGAAAACACTACTACACATTAAGGATTCAGAGCTCTGCACCACAATGTTTCTCTTCAAAAAATTTAATGATATAAAGAAAACAGTGCCATCTTGTTTCTGAGACTGTGGTTTTATAGCATATACCAGAAACATCATCTATCTGCAACAGCTTCAAAGACACACTTACAGAGGAGAAGAGACTGGTGTCCCATGGTCCTGGCATAAGTTAGCATTCAAGACAAAGGTTGTTCCTGCAGAAGTAGTTCTTTTCACAGAATCACACAGAATCACAGAATCACAGAATGGCAGGGGTCGGAAGGGACCTTGAAAGATCATCTAGTCCAGTCCCCCTGCCAGAGCAGGATCACCTACAGTAGGTCACACAGGAACACATCCAGGCAGGTTTTGAATGTCTCCAGAGAAGGAGACTGCACAACCTCCCTGGGCAGCCTGTGCCAGTGCTCTGTCACCCTCACAGTGAAAAACTTTATTCTGATGTTTTTGTGGAACCTTCTATGCTCCAACTTGCACCCATTGCCACTTGTCCTGTCATTGGACATCACTGAAAAGAGCCTGGCTCCCTCCTCCTGACACTCACCCTTTGCATATTTATTAATATTAATGAGGTCACTCATCAGTCTCCTCTTCTCCAAGCTAAAGAGACCCAGCTCCTTCAGCCTTTCCTCATAAGGGAGATGTTCCACTTTCTTAATCATCTTTGTGGCTCTGTGCTGGACTCTCTCAAGCAGTTCCCTGTCTCTCTTGAGCTGAGGGGCACAGAACTGGACACAATATTCCAGATGTGGCCTCACCAGGGCAGAGTAGAGGGGCAGGAGGACCTCTCTCGACCTACTAGCTACTCCCCTTCTAACACACCCCAGGATGCCATTGGCCTTCTTGGCCACGAGGGCACATTGCTGGCTCATGGGCATCCTGCCAGGTCCCTTTCCCCTACGCTGCTCTCCAGCAGGTCAATCCGCAGCCTATACTGGTACTTGAGGTTGTTCTTTCCTGGATGCAAGATGCTACACTTGCCCTTGTTGAATTTCATAAGATTTCTCCCCGCCCAGCCCTCCAGCCTGTCTAGGTCTCTCTGAATGGCAGCACAGCCTTCTGGTGTGTCAGCCACTCCTCCCAGTTTTGTGTCATCAGCAAACTTGCTGATGGTACACTCTATTCCCTCATCCAAGTCATTGAACAGTACTGGTTCCAGTAGTGATCCCTGAGGGACTCCACTAGATACAGGCCTCCAACCAGACTCTGTTGCATTGACCACAATCTCTGACTTCTTTCCTTCAACCAGGTCACAATCCACCTCAGTATCCGATCACCCAGACCACACTTCCTCAGTTTAACTATGAGGATGCTGTGGGAAACAATGTCAAATGCTTTACTGAAATCCAGATAAAACACGTCTACTGCATGGCCATCATCTGTCCACCTGGTTATGTCTTCATAAAAGGCTATCAGAGACAACACTGAGGACAAGTTTTTCCACCACCTTTCCAGGGATGGAGGTGAGGCTGACTGGTCTGTAGTTACCCGGGTCCTCCTTGCTCTTTTTGAAGATTGGAGTGCCATTTGCTTTCCTCCAGTCCTCAGACACCATTCCTGTTGCCCACGACTTTCCAAAGATGATGGTGAGTGGCCTAGCAATGACTTTCACCAGATCCCTCAGCACCCACAGGTGTATCCCATCAGGGCCCATGGATGTTTTCAGGAAACATAAATTCAGTAAACAACTATTTTCTTGTTTTATTTGTCATGTGTGATGTTGATGTCAACTATCTGTCTGAATAGGTCGCATAACTAATGTTTAACCACAATAGCACCTACCCCCCCCCCCAACATGTGATTTGGAAAGTACCAAATTATTAGATCTGCTAGTTCCCAAACAACCCCCTTAAATGAATGCAGGAGCAAATAGGAAAATAATTGGATCTGGGCAGAGAGCTAATCTTGGCAGAGCAAAATCAGGTGTCCTAGTTTGAGAGCACCAGGATAAAAGTTCTCTGGGGCTGCCTTGTCACGGGTGGCAATCAAAACTGGGGA